GTACATATATCACCGGTCTTATCCTCTACGAAGGTTTCTTCGGTTCCTACGCCTGTCTTACCTGGGTTATACCTTCCGAGGTCTACCCTACCTACCTCCGTTCTTACGGAATGGAGACTTCGGATACCATGCTCTTCCTCTGTTCTTTCCTCGTCACATACTTCTTTGCTGAAATGCAAAAGGCCATGTCGAATATTGGTTTGACATTGGGTTTCTATGGTGGTATTGCAATCGTTGGTTGGTTTTACCAAGTACTTTTCATGCCTGAGACTAAGAACAAGACGCTTGAGGAGATTGATGTCATTTTCAGTCAACCTACTGCTCAATTGGTCAAGGAGAACTTGAGAAGTTCGATGGTTACTGCTGATGATTTCATTCATGGACGATGGGGTAAAGTCTTCTCTCCTGTTTCGGAGAGTGATATCTTCAGAAAGGAGAATGGACTTAAGTCTGATGAGGGTGGAATGGGAAATGTGAAGCATGAGGAGTTGATGCAACCTGAGTCTTTGTAGATGACGAATGGTATGTTCGTTACAAATATGACGAATTTGTCATAGGGGACGGTTTAATGCTTTATGGAATGATTCAAAGGAAGGTTATATTTTGGATCATGATTTATTGACATGAGATAAGATGATTGTATAAAAAAGTCGGATGAACACATGGTTAGATATGAAGGAAAGGTTATTTTCGGACGAGTAATGATTGATATGTAATAGAAATGATATCCCCTGATTTTAATGATATATGATACCTTTTCAATAGTAGCTTCCTATTGTGTTTGTGTTTGTGTTTGTGTTCCATATACAGTGTAAAGTTTGATGAAAGCGTGGGTAGTGTAACATGTGAACCACGACCTGACAATGGAAGTCTAGTTATAACTTATAAGGAGACATTTGATTTATAGTCGGACAATCAAGAAGGGGTTATGAATATTAATAGCTGATACTTGAGATTCATATGGCAGACAAAGTGCCCATGAAGAAATACTACCTACTCAGCACACGTAAAAAAAAGATACTTTATACCTCACGCATTACGTTCCGAGCCTAGCCGTCAATTCCTCTCCCATTCAATCTCTGAATCCCCAAACCAAACAATATATATATATATAAATTCCACCCAAGTTATCTTAGAGTATCCAATAGTCTGGACTGCAGTTTAACAGTCAAGAAAGTTGGAATATTCAATCCCTTAACAACATTGAACTTATTTTAAATGTATTTCTCAGAAGATCACTTCTTCACAATAAGCCTCATATCAGATCAAGTCAGGACTCACTTAGCTCACCATCACCATCACCATGTGCAGAACCATACTCAAAACCCGAATGATATCAAACAAATATGTAGTTACAATTATATTTCTAAAAAGTAATCCAAGATTAATAGCACAAAGTTACAGTCCAATTTCCCCCCTCCACATTCTCCAGCACATACCTCCCACTCGTCGCATTACCAGCGGCAATTTGCCGGGTCATAGCAACCTCCTCTCCATCTCTACTCTGCAAACTCATTGTTGCCGTTTGATTTGTATATGGCACGCTGATCGAACCCATTGTTCCCTTCGGAGTCGTAATTTCAATACTGTCCAATCTCCCCGAGCTGCCCGACGCTTTAACCGCAAAACTACCGAGCGTCGTCTCAAATCCCGCTTCTATATCTGTTAATCCTCCCAAATTAGGTGCTATGCTCCAAGATTTTCCCGCTGCCTCTGTAACTCTCAAACCCGCACCATGGAATGTCAGAGCAGAAGTTGGTCCCGTACTCCAGCCATGCGCATGAGATACTCGTGGATCATTCGTGTATGGTGCATAGTGTAGAGTACCATCTGTAGAGTATCCTTCGATAAACGTACTATTCGTCATACGTGGATCATCCAGCATGAAATCTCCCCACATGAATTTGATTAATTGGACAGCGCGTTCGGCTCTGCCAGCCATGTAGTGTGCTTGGATTTCAAAACTGGTGACGAAGGGGGATATAACGTTACCGCCGCCTTCGGGGGCGGGAGCTCCATATTTGCCCCAGCGTGCAGATAGGGAATCGGAGACTTGGAGAGCTCGGGCGGGAGTAGATACAAGTTCAGAGAATATTGCCCATGCATTTCCGTCTTGTGGATAGAGTGTTGTTAATGGAAGGGTATCATTGTCTCTAAACAGATTCGTTGTGTTATCCCATAGTGCAACATTTGCGGCTGATTTGATACCAGCAGCGTATTCTGGCCATTTTGAAGTGGTAGGTGAAGAGTCATTAAGGACTTTCGCGAGTTTTGTGCCGAGATTGAGTGTATAGTAAAGAATAGAGTTTGCCTCGATATTATGACCACCCATACCAACTCGTAACCAATCAGGGTTATTTGCAGGAAGATTGGCCATTTTTGTCTCATCGATGAAACTTAAGGAGTAATTCATTCCTAATGTGAATTGTCCCCAATGTTCTTTCAAATAATCTTCGTCGCCGGTAAATAGATAGTAATCGTGAATGTCGATCAGTGAATGCAGGTGATAGGTAAAACTCCAGGTTGAAATTACTGTGGTAAATGGAATTCCGGCATATGGTAGTGCACCAGAAGAATTTTGAAGTACTAATAATGAGTCGAGAGAATTTTTGATGGTTGTCATGTCGTTAGTTGAAACGAAGACTGAGGGACCTGAAATTGCTATATCTCCTGGCCATACAAGACGGTCTCTCTTGGCTCCATCAGTAAGAACACTGGTACCATCTGATAATTACTTGTCAGTATTACTCTCGGAACAAGGGCAGAAGAACATACTAGCAATGGTGTAGTTGTTCCACCATGTTACAGGTTCTGTGATAGTACTATTTGAAGTGATCTCGCCTAAATGTACTAGAGAGTCCCCGGTTGTAGGATCAATAGTACACATATCATTAGTATAGGCACCAGCGTACCATACTCGATTAACCTGATCGTCATTGCAGTGAAAGTAGCCCGTATAGGCTCTGAGTTCGTTTTCTGCTTTGTGAGGTAAAGCAGTGTATTGTATAGTCAGGTTTGAGACTTCGACCGACCCGGTGGTATTGTGATAGATGTTTAGATATCTAAATCCACCACGTTGTTGTTTCTTTTCCGCTTGATAAAAGCCGCCACTGGTGACTGAGTACCATAAAGCTTCGTCGATTCCTCCATCGGCCGTAGCATCACATCCTTTATCGCTAATCCACAACGAACTCTCGGTGAAACTGATTCCAATGAATTGATCACCATCTCCGTCGATGGTTCCAACATTGAAAGAGACGATACCAGCAATATTCTTTCCAAAATCGTAGGTGATAGCCGAAGAGGGACCGACTGTTGCTGGATTTGAGGATCCAGTAGCGGTCAAGGCTTCTGCATTGGTAACTGAACCATTGATATTGAATACTGACACAGGTGTTAGGGTTCGAGAATTTGGTGTAAGAATGTAATCCTCATATGGTATAGCTTTAGCTGATACCACATACAAGCTAAGAAGACTGATAGAGAAATGTGAGAAAATCATCGTGAGTATTTTCGACAAAAGACTAAACGGATATGTGTGAAGAACCCATAGGGAATTTGACCAAGATTGAAGACCAAAAGCTTCCTGCTTAAAGGCAATCAGCATTTGGTATACTTCCTCCATTCTAGCTTTATATCCTTTTCGAATTGACCAAGAATATGTCATCTCGTTTTCAATTCTCGCAGATTTCGGTATAACAATGGACGAAAGTATGATTTAGTTCATCTTATTCAATGGTGATCCCCTTTGGTTTTTTATACCCAGACAATTCTGTGGGGCCATACCGCCATTTTTCGTCCATATAAATGGAATAGATGTCATTGCGAAGGCTCGTGGAGAAGCTAGTATGGAGGCTCGGAAAGCCCGCTTAACCCGTTTAGATCGTTGAGCTCGCTTGACAAGCATCTCCCCCGCAGTGACATCGAAGATGCGGGGAGATTGATGGAGTCGGCTTGAGGTCGACATATATTGCAAAATGTGTGGTAAGTACCGGTAGCTATCTTGCCATAGAACTACGAGTAAGGGATAGCCGTCAGATGGTAAAGGATGTGTGTACCATGTACTCGGTATTTCAATGAACGAGCACTAGACGAAATCAGGACTTGGTGCTTATATAAATCTACGAGTAGTGCTAGAACGCTAATGTGATATTTGAGTAATCGAGACTGAAAGAAATCCTTCAGAAAAGAGCAATCCATTTTGAAACAAATCTCCATTAAATACTGATTTCTCTCTTAAATCTTTAAGGATTGAATTATTATTGGATCTTGGAGAGGGATGATTTTGATTTTGATTTGGTTTTGGACACTTGAATTTGCTAAATATCAGCCCGATATACATTACAACAAGAAAGAGTAAATTTGATGTGTACCGGTACCTTAATTTGATTGTCCAAGACTTATATGTGGAATAGCATGTGGAAGGAAAACTATTCTGGGGCATAGCACCATCTGACTTGTTACTTTGAACTTGAAATGATCCAAGCATCTTCTTGTTTTCACAATCAGATTCATGCATTGAAAAGTGTGTCATAATATCTACTTTTAAGAGAACCTTCGAATGATTGGTTTGATTACAAAGGAGAATTCTATTGGATCTAGGGAATCGAGATACTGTATCACTATCCCCTCTCAACCTCTTTTTTACTTCAACACTGTCGATTGATTGTCTTGATTACGAAGAACAAAATTGTTTTATATTTCAGAAATCTAGAGAATATATTACAACCCCTCCATCTACTTTGATGCTTTCGAATGTCCGGCCTAATCATAAAGCAATTGAATTTGTACTGTATCTACGGAATGATGCCATTGTCCCTTATACCCTAGTTTCATCACAAGTTATCATTCCATTCAATTTCACATCTCCCAGTACTTTTGCAACTTAACGAAATAAACGAAGTGACATTTTATACCCGCTCGAGCCGCTATCATAATTAATGTACACACGTATGCCCAAAAAACCAAATCCTCCATGTTCAAATCATCGCATGCCAGTTTTATATCACAATTGCCAAATCAGGCCTATCCATCTTCTCATCATCCATGTTTGGGTAGTAAGGCACGATAGCATCGGCCGATAATACATAAGCGCTGTTGTAAAGCGTCCAATAAGCTAATCATATAGTCAGCATCAAGTTTTTAGATATATAAAATTTTGAGAAAAGTGACTTACGTTGTCTAACTTTGCGTGCGGGATGGAATAGACCAGCCCAGACGTAGTTAAGAACAAGACCCGGTCCAATTGCCATTCTGATAGCCTCAATAGCTTCGACAATACGATCAATAACGTGCGGACTGGTCTCGAATAAATTGGGGTATAGTAAGTTAAGAAGATGAAGCATAGCATCTTCACAACCAAGACCAACGACGCCCAATGCCACATGCTTCACAACAGAGGCGGCAGTCTGTCTATGAACTTGATCACGATCGATCAATGCATCTTCGAGTAAAGGCGTAATGGCATAAACGTAATCTTTGGCCATCTCACCAATATATTCGAAGAGGAAAGAAAGTGACTTCAGAACACCATTCTGAACATTAAGTTCGGGAACACGGTATTCGTTCATCAAAGCTGGGAGAACTGTGAATGGAGCACAAGTTTCCGCGACGATACCAATTGCCACAGCTGTACAGACACGAGATTGACGTTCTTGAACTCGGAGATTGTTTAGTAGAGTAGCGAGAACATCCTGAGGTCCAATAGCTTTGGCGATGAAACCGAATGTGTTATTGGCAGCACGACGAATACCTTTCTTGTGGGCCTTGAGCATGTCTAAAAGTTCGAAACAGATTCTCATCCATTCTCTAGCATTAACACTCTCAGGACCACGATCGGCGATACGACCAACCAAATCAATGGTATTTTCTTGTACCTTCTCGTGTCGATTTCGTAGAATTGGTGTAAGTCGAGGAAGCAAGTCCTTAATTGGAGGTTGCATTTGATTGATACCAACCACAGTGACAATAGAACGCAAGGCACCAAGGATAGAACCAAGAACTTCTGGATATTCTTCACCGAGATACTCGTAAAGAACGATACCTAGCTTTCCCATCAAAGCATCTTCACCACATTGCTTCATAACCATTGCGATACGAGAAATCAAGTCCGCCGCTTGTTGTCGAACAGTGGCAGATTTGTTGTTTAATCGCCACAAAATGGTACTGACAATCTGGGGGAGGTATGGTTTACATCTCGTACCAAGAGCATTGACCACAGTTCCAAATCCATTCAACATAACGATATCCTCGACACTCTGTTCCTGGAAAGAGTGCAGAATACCGTCGATAAGTCGTTCTTCGAGTCTCTCACCAATGTCTGCAGCACCGAGACTAGCAATAACCTTCTCAATGGTTTCCACAGTCATTTTGCGATATGCTTCGCTTTCATCCTTCAAGTTATTGACGATACGCTCCACAATCTCGCCAACGCCGACTTTTTGGCCGAGATCGACAGTAGTCTCAACCACTTGTCTATAGTTCCGCTTGTCTAATGCCATTCTTCGAACCCAGAAGCTCTTGAAAAACTCATCTAACACATTCTCCTTTAGGTACCCTGCTGTTACACCATCGGTACCGGCGCACTGTGAAACAACCTTAAGTACTACCTTTTTCATTTCCTCATCCGGAGATGAGAATTCTCTCAATAGAATTTCCATGATTTGTCCTGTGTAGTAGTTGGCATATTCTTCATCCATCAAAGGAATGATGTATCCAACGGCCTTCAAGAAACCAGCAAGACCTTTTCCACGTTGTTTCTATTTGTGAGTCAGTGGGATGTTATTTAATTGTTTGGGATAGAAGGGAGAATTTATACTAACCCTAGCACCGGTCCATAATGGATTGAGGATATCATCAAAGCTCTCGATACCATATGGATTTGCTGCCTCTGCTAAAGCTGCAATTGCCAAACTGGTAACAGTTCGAACCTTTGTTTGATCGTCATTAAGATTACCACCAATACAATCAACCAAACCTTTTAGATGAGGAAGCACAGCACAACCCATTAAGATAGGGATCTGTTGAACAATCTTTACACCAGTATGTCTTGCTTGCCACGATTTCTTACTTCTACATACTGCTCGTAAGAAAGGAAGAAGTGCGGGAATACCAAGTGCGGAAGCGACGACAGCAAATGCTCTAGCAGTTGTATTTCGTACATATTCATCAACATGATCAATATCTGGTCGCATAGTACTGATCATGTGAGCTAAACCGGCCGCTTTACTGAGATTGGAAATGATTTCTCGACCTTCCACTCGAGCGTAGTAGTCTTGATCGATAAGCAATGGTTCGATGACGACCAGAATCTTGTGAACATAAGGCCTGACAAGATCATCAAGTTTGTAGAGGATGCGATCAATAACCTTAACCAATAAATGGCGTTCTTGATCTTCAAGTGTCTTTTCCATGAGCAATGGAAGGATTTGGTTGAATAATGGTCCAGCGCCAAATTGTCTTGCGTTATCCGTGAGTTGACGCAAAGCAGTCTTTCGCATAGGGGGAGTTCCATTCTTGACTTTGAGTAAGAGCCTCATAATCTTCCTTTCTTTAAGTTCTTCCACACTCATAGAATTTTCATCACTACCATCTGTGAGCTTTCCAAAATATGCCATATCCTCCGCCTTGAAAAATTGTAAATCTCCTACGCCGGGTATTTCTGTTGGGAGCTGTTTTGCTAATTGTCTTCCACTTTCTGGATCTTGCATCATAAATCCGCCAGTAGGTAACGGTGTAGACATGACCTTTTGCGCAATAGTTCGTATTGGAGCGTAACCTGGTGGAGGTTCTAAGATTTTGTAGCCTTCAGATGGTAACATCATATCAAGTTCCTCATCTGAAAGCGGCGCATTTCTCGATGATATATCAGTTCCGAATGTAGTTGGTATAGATGGACCGCCCATTTGTGATGGATGCATTGGTGTTACTAATCCTTGATTGCCCATAGGGGTGGCAGCAGGTGCTTGATCCCATCTAGATCTTCTCCTAGGAGTTTCGTCAACCGCAGCGCCCCCGACAGCTGGTGTTTGATCCCATCTCGAACGTTTGGTTTTACCCTCTGCTGATGGTGGAGCCATGCTAGTATCTTCCTCAGTGCCAACATCCCATCTCTTCTTTCTTTTGCGACCACTTGCGACAGCTTCCGTGGAACCAGCTTCGTCGTTTTCCTTATTACCAGGAGAACCACTACCTTCCTTGACCAGCGTTGCAGTATGGTGGATGACTTCGCCATTCGCCTTCTTCTCCTCAATGGCTTTCTTGACTCTCTCTTCCTCTCGCTCGAGTTCTCTCCTAGCCATGACATCTCTGTAGCTTTCAGCATTTCCATCAGCTCTTGTAGGAGTCAAGACTCGATCGTGCCGACGTTTTTGGTAATCGGTTTCGCGATCGGAAATTCGTGCACTTTTCTCTCTCCCTAAGAGAATATCTTCCTCCTCGACCCCATTACCCTGTGCGAATTCGTTCATCTGTTCCTTAGAAGCTGTGTATTGGCCTACCAATCTTCGGCTGGTATCAGCTTCCTCCATCTCATCATCATCACCATCTGCCACTGCGATGGAAGTATTATAACCTGCGAATTTATCACCGCCATCGCGCTCATAAAGACTGGTATCGAAGCTTTCTGTTAAGGAGGCCTTGGTGGAAACATCAGTTCGCTGACTTGATGGATCAAATGTCTTCGATCCCTTCTTACCAGCAGAGGCAGCATTCCTCTCAGCCTGTAGCTTCCTGATCGTCTCGAAGTCGGTGTCGGACATATTCGCGCGTTGTGGTGATGCGCATTGGTGTTTGGATGGTATAATTTTGTACTGATTTTGTAATCGAGAAGGTACCTAGTAGCTTTGATAGCCTGGGCAGCACTAGGTAGTTCGTGTTGCTAGCCACCGCCACACGAGGCTCAAATTTGATGCATGCGTCACGTGAATTATGATTTCCCAGTTTCAGCAGATGTCCTTTCTACCAGTATCAATGCTCACTTATTATCTGCTCAATGGAATAATTATTGAGGGCTTTATGAATCTTATCCATATGAAGTGAGTATATTTACCTGATGTTTGTTCCACGGGGTTCTCACATTGAAATTCGATCGATCCAAGTTGAGAAGCGTAATAATAGATAGACAAATCAAAAGGGGATGTGTCAAAGAATCACGCCAAAATCACAAGATATTCAAGATGGTATCAACTCACAAGACAAGAACTCCTGTAAGTTTTGTGGTATGCAATATCGCTCAATTTCAATTTTCGTTGTCATACAATCGCCTACCCCAAACTCCCAATTGTCTTCTATCCTCAACCCTGGACCTTGAAAGTGCGTCCGGTAGCTGTCTTTCTCTCTTTCTCTTCGTTCTCTGGGCGTGCTCTTCTCAAAACTACTCATCGTCAGTAATGTGCAACATCTACTCTTCAGAAATAAGAGCCCACCTTGCAAGAAGTCTGCAGTACGTGTACGCATTCTAGAGTGAATGTATGCCTAGGAGAAGTTAATACTGAATCATGAATTGGCCGTGTGTCATGAAAGTACCTTTGATGCTTTGATATGGTAGTGGAAGTAATCACGGAAGGTTTGGATGTGGGAAATAACTTCATCTCTTCGTTGAAGTGTGAGGTGACGTGGAAATAAAACTTTATGAATTAGCAGGATGAAATAGAAGCTTGCGGTACCACGGAAGAGTATTTGAGCTTACCAAATGTAGCATATCCAATATCTCCACTGCCATTGTCCTTTACTCCTAGAACTCCTTGAAGCTCCAATGGCGGGTCGGTTCTGAACAATACTTGAGGAGCGTTTTGAATAGCTCTCCTTCGGGCATCTACGAACTCTTGAATAAAGACCCTTCCAAATACTCTATCTGTCTCCTCGCGAAACACTGTACTGAAGATAACAGTGACTCTGTCGTGACTAGCCTTGATATAAATCGCTTCTTCATCACGGTAATGAATTGCCATAACATCTCCACCTTCTCCAACACCTTGGGGAGCTTCCTCGGATGTGAACTTCGATGCTTCCTCCTGTAATTTGTGGAATTCGGTGAAGGCATGCTCGAATGGCGCAGCCATGGCATTTCGTTTCAATAAGGATATACGTCTAATCAAATCATCTCGGGCTTCTGGAAAATAGATTGCATCAGCATATGCCATACACAATGACTGGCATTCATACCCTTCTCTTCTGGCAGACTTTCTAAATCAACTTGCACCGAGAAGTTGTAACCACTTTCCGGCGCAACAACGTATGGACCATATTCACGCTCAAGAACCTGCTGAGCGCCATATCGTACAAGTTCATCGTAGCATTTAACTTGTATGGAAACGAGGATTTTTGTCTTTGCTTCAGGGGTCGAGATGTGGAAAGTAACACCGTCGAAATCGGCTACAGTTTGGTCAATGTTCACCGGTGGTGCTCTGATTGGAATTAGTTTTGGCCGAGCGTTAGGATATAGGTTTACACAAACCCTGAGAATCTCTCCGTGAGTACGGATTGAATGAGTACATTTTGGTAATCGAGAAGAAGCATGATGGTGGCGTGTGAGAGACTTGAATTTCCCGTTGTGATGTTTCCAGTACTACTAATGCACTATGGGGAATTAAGCTGTTGCTCTCCTGTTGTGTTGTTGTAGGTAGCTCAGGTTGCTGACGACGTGGGCCGGGTGGCTTAGCTTTGTATATTAAAGCGGCATCATATCTTCGAGAGTTCTCGTGTGGAAGCGTCTCAGGTCGCTGCTGCTTTTAAGCCCATGAAACCCATGCTTATCGGTAGCACTAAGGAATTTTATCGCATAGGTTAGAAAAAAAGTTCTGGTTCTCAAAATACATATGAGTACCTTTGCGCCAGTTTATAAATATGGTTAAATCTTACTTGTAAGTCCTCAAAATTATAAATGACGATTAGCAATTGCTGACCTGCTTGACTTGTAGGAAATACGAGCACTCGAAATCATTTGGTCTTGTCAATTCGAGTACTTCAAACGTTGTTTGGTCAACAGATGGAGCCGGCGTCTCGAGTCGAAATACAGGTTCGGGAAGAGCTATAGTAGCTGCCAATGAGGAGGTATTATGTTGGGAAATTAAGACGGGAGCACTTCTGAGTCGATGGAGAGACAATGAATGTAAATCTCAAGTTTCAGCCATTGTCCAGAGTAAAACCGACGTAGACATTTTCGCCGTCGGATACGAGGATGGTAGTATACGACTATGGGACTCGAAAATCGCAACTATCCTGGTCAAATTCAATGGACACAAGTCTGCGATTACTACACTAGCATTCGATAAATCTGGAGTCCGGCTAGCTAGTGGTTCGAGAGATACAGATGTTATTGTGTGGGACCTGGTCGCTGAGGTTGGCTTGTTCAAATTGAGAGGACACAAGGATCAGATAACCGGACTCCAATTCATTCAACCCGGCGCGTCACAAGAATCTGGTGAAGATGAAGAAGTAGTTGATGTGGAGGACAGTTCATCTGAGGGATTTCTTCTCACCACTGGCAAGGATGCACTCATCAAACTCTGGGATATGACATCTCAACACTGTATCGAAACTCACGTCGCTCAAACAAATGGAGAATGCTGGGCTTTAGGCACTTCACCGGATGGTAGTGGGTTTATTACGGCTGGAAACGATGGGGAAATGAAAGTGTGGTCTATTGACACAGCCGGTTTATACAAGTTATCGAAACAAGTGAACGGTGCAGTTGAAGCTCGGTATCTTCAGGGCAGAGGAATTTTACATCGACAAGGAAAAGATAGGGCACTCGAAATTAGTTTTCATCCACGCTTAGACTACTTTTCAGTTCATGGTTCGGAAAAGTCTGTTGAAATATGGAGGATACGATCAGAAGAGGAAGTAAAGAAGAGCTTAGCAAGAAAGCGCAGGAGAAGAAGAGAAAAGCTGGCCGCAACCGAGAAGTCAGCTATGGAAGTGGATGAAGTGGATAAGAAGGTCGAAGACATCTCAACTGCTGATATCACAGACTTTTTCGTCCCATATGTCATTGTTAGAACGGGAGGTAGAGTTCGATCCATCGATTGGGTACGCATTAAAGGCACCAAATCCATACAATTGCTTATAGCAACTTCGAACAATCAATTGGAGGTCTACACTGTAGTCACAAAAGAGAAAAGTAAGAAATCGAAGAGCGAAGAAATGCCAGATTATTCAAGAACATTATCGGTCGAGATGCCAGGTCACAGAGCAGATATAAGAGCGTTGGCATTGAGTTCCGACGACAAGATGCTAGCATCAGTATCTAATGGTGGTATCAAAATCTGGAACGTTCGCAAGGGAACTTGTATACGAAGTTTCGAGTGTGGCTATGCTCTATGCTGTGCATTTCTGCCGGGAGATAAAATTCTAGTGGTTGGAACAAAATCTGGGGAACTGGAGTTATTTGATGTAACTGCAACTGCTATGATTGAAAGTATCAAAGCACATGAAGGTGCTATTTGGAGTTTACAAGTTCATCCAGATGGCCGTTCTGTGGTTTCTGGAAGTGCAGACAAATCAGCCAAGTTCTGGAACTTTGAGGTGATTCAGGAGGAGATTCCCGGAACCACACGGAAAACCCCAAAATTACGACTCGTCCATACCAGAACTTTGAAAGTATCAGATGATATTTTGAGCTTGAGATTCTCACCAGATGCACGTCTTTTAGCTGTGGCCCTCCTGGACAATACCGTTAAGGTGTTCTTCGTCGATTCTCTAAAGCTCTTCCTAAATTTGTATGGTCACAAGTTGCCTGTGCTTAACATGGACATTTCTTTTGATAGCAAGCTCATCGTTACTTGCTCTGCTGATAAGAATATACGTCTTTGGGGTCTCGATTTCGGAGATTGTCATAAAGCATTCTTTGGACATCAGGACAGTATTTTACAAGTTGCATTCGTTCCACATAGTCAAGATGGCAATGGACATCATTTCTTCAGCACCAGTAAGGACAAAATGATTAAGTACTGGGATGGAGATAAATTCGAACAAATCCAAAGATTAGATGGTCATCACGGTGAAATTTGGGCTTTGGCAGTCAGTCGAACAGGTGACTTCTTCGTCAGTGCAAGTCATGACAAAAGCATTCGAGTATGGGAACAAACCGACGAGCAAATATTCCTCGAGGAAGAGAAGGAGAAGGAGTTAGAAGAATTATATGAATCAACTTTGACAACATCTCTAAATCCTGATAAGAACGAGGAAGATGATGATAATGAAGTTGGAGCCGCTGGAAAACAGACAACCGAGACTCTGATGGCTGGAGAAAAGATTGTCGAAGCCCTTGAGATTGGAACTGTCGATCTGGAACTAATGGCTGAATATGAACTTGCCAAAGCCACTAATCCTAATACCGCTCCTCCAGCCCGCAACCTCCTTTTCATGGCTCTTGGTAATATTAGTGCCGAAAGACATGTTCTCAATACCCTTCAGAAAATCAAAGCCGCAGCACTTCACGACGCATTGCTCGTTCTTCCATTCTCCACTCTCCCCATGCTCTTCACATTCTTAAATATTTTTGCCCAAAAAGAGATGAACATACCACTGACATGTCGGATATTATTCTTCATGTTGAAAACACATCAAAAACAGATTGTTTCAAGTAAAACCATGAGGACTATGTTAGATGGTGTTAAGGAGAACTTGAGAAAGAGTTTGAAGAGACAGAAGGATGAGATGGGATTTAATTTGGCAGCTTTGAAGATTACTGGAGAGAGAGTAAAGGATATGGGGACTAAGGATTATGTGGATGAGGATACTTGGGAGGAGGACGATGGATCGAGTAAGAAAAAGAGAGGATTCGTTCAGGTTTCTTAGGATGCTTGCATTCAATTGTGGCATTGGGTTGGTATAGATTTGAGGGAACATCAAAAATGTAAGATGTACATGTTATGGTCAAAATGGTAGTGGGGTCGAAAATTTCAAGGGCACTTATTTTCACAACCATTAACTGTGGAAAAGATTGAGATATGTTGTACCATTCCCGATTACATCCAATTAGTAATTCTCCAAGATCTATGCTCGCGACGTATAAAGCGTATGACCCAAAACATGCATTTACATGAAGCCCGGAAACGGGGGCATATCTCGAGCTAAATTTTGTCGCCTCGATCAGTTTCGAGTGAAGCTGTCTTGAAGTTGCACTTCATTGCACAATAAAAACTTGGACATTCAAGCCTAATTGCTCCAACCAATTCTGGATAATAAGACGGTAATGTTCTATTCCATCTTGAACATTCATGTCTGTTCTATAGTATCTTCGCCGCCATAATCTCGAAGGAGATAGTTCTCTGTCACTCTTCATTTCTCTAGATGTTTCGACGATGTTTTTCTTTGAACTTCGAACGATCTAGATTCATAATGATTGTTAAAGAGAGTGCGTGCCAAAATGTCTTTCTTTTCCTTTCCAAACCCAACACATAGATCTACTTTTGCGTTTCAAAGCAAAACATGAAGAAAAAGCAGAATTAAAAAGTGGTAGCAGTTCGTAATTTGCGTATCGTGAATAGTATAAAGAGAAGCGATATCATTTAATTCTTTCTCGTGCACAAAAATTCCAACATCTCATCTCACCCCAAACGAAAATGTCAACTCCATCCCCTTCCCGTACTCCAGTTTTACGTCTCCGTCCGCTTTCTGAATCCGACAACCCCTCTCGAGAACCCATACACGCCAACGTCGCCAGGGATGTCGCAAAATATTACAAGAAAGCAGGATCCGCATCTTATCCTACCTCTGTCGATATTGGACCAGCGTATTACCCACGATTTAACCACCGGAATTCCTGGGAACTAGAGTCTCCTGAAAGATCCGAACCTAATTCACCAATCGAGTCACTTTTTACTTCTCCTATTGAAAGTCGCCCTTCCTCTCCGGTGGGATCGACGGGTAGTATGGTTACTCACACCTCGTCTCAGACGGATGGCTCATCCACAGAATCCAGTGAAATGACTAAGAGAGACGACGAATCAAATAAAGAGCGAGACGAAGCAACGGAACGAAGCTCCAATCTCCTTGAACAACTCTTGATGGAAAAATCAAAAAGCTTGATCTTAGAAAAGGAAAGAGATGACGCAATTCTCAGTGCCGCAGAAACTAAGACGAAGTACGAAATCATAGAGAAGGAAAACGATGATGGCAAGCGCAAATTATGGGAGACACGTTATCAGCTGAATAAGTTAGAGAAGAGGAAGACTAGTCTTTTCGCAGGCGAGAAAGTAGCATCTGTGCAAGCGGAGAGAGATCAAGCGATTTTGCAAGCAGAGGCGAGTTTGAAACTGCAGAAGAAGGCGGAAAAAGAACGAGATGAGGGAAAGGAACTTTTAGTTGAGGTTACAGAATGGCAGAGCGAAAAAATGGGGGAAATCAATGAAGCTAGACGAGTCGCAGCCAAGCGATTTGAAGATATGGAGTTGGCAGAAAGACAAAGAGATGATGCATTGCAACTTGCAGCTGAGAGATTAAGTGGATTGAATGAAGCGAAACGATTTGTAGAGGTGGGATTTGAAGAGATGAAGTTGACGCAGAAGGAAAGAGATGAAGCTCGACAAAATGCAGCAGAGAGCTTGGGAAAATGGATTAGCTTGGAGCAAAAATATGAAGAGGTAAAGCATGAAGCGCATTTGCTGCGAATGGAAATAGAGAGGATGAAAGAGGAGAAGAAGGGACGGGGTTACTGGACATATTTCCTGGGTGCACTATTCGATTGAGAATATTTTGGGCACTTGTGCTCATGCTTTACTTTGTATTTTCGATAGTCTTGTTGCATATCTTGAGTTTTTTTTCACATTCACTTAGCGAAAATTTCATTACACTTTCATCTCACCCAATTAAACGGGTTTGTTGCATGTCTCATGATTGAATATCTATTTTGACTTATAAGCTATATTCGGTGGTGAGATCCAGTATCGAAATAAACCTGTTAAAGTCAATGTAATGTGATTGGCTAAGAAAAGAAATTCTAGATTCTCAAAGAGGGTTCAAATCTGATCCTGACATCTCATGAAGCTGCGTAGGTACCTAGTATGTCTAGAACATTTCTTCTTGAGCATTCTTCTGGCTCACCACACAATCCACAATATTCTATGATGAAATAGTCTTCATCTTTGAATTGGTCGGAAATAATGAATTGATGATGTCGATAATGGCACCTTCAAGATCTTCACATTAGAATTATGAAATAAACTGCAGTCTGAACTATTGGAAGGACTATGAGTCAAACAAAGTCCTATCATGAACCTCGTATAGTTCTTTATATAGAATTGAAGAAAACAAGAATGATGTACAATGACTATACCCAGTATTATCTTCCACGCATAAAAATCTAACCCATCACCATAGCCAATCATCTCCAAACCTCCCCCTCCACATGTCACACTCCTCATCATACAATCTAACAACCTTCTTATCTATCATCTCAACCCCTCAAAGAAGGAATTTTGAATCCACCCCAGTTCAAACGCGAAAATGCACCCTCAACATCATATTTCTCCCTAATAGTTATTATCTTCTCCACATTTTCCGCTGGCATTGTAGAGAATGGATTTTGCCATCCTCCAGCATCACCCATATAGATGAAATCCGTTTCTTCACTCGAGACATTATTCGCAATAGCAAAGTTATGGATTTCTCCTATGACTTTTTGAATCTATGTTGTCATGCGGAGATCATCTTGTGCTAAATCCTAGCCGGTACTCATTTGCTACCCATTTTGATGTTAGTATCTCTTTAGATGAATAGGTAGTTTTATTGAAAAGAGGAGTAACTTACAAATAGCGGATTCAGTATCATCCCTTCCCCATACATTGCCAATACCATTGGTCTTCGCGACAGTGTTGGCACTTTTAGGATCAAGGTTTGTGACGAAAGTTGGGTAGAAACTAACAACATCTTTAACATCCTCGACTGCAGCCTTCCACATTTGCCACATTTGATAGAGAACCGTTCCATTTGGTTTCATAGAATGAACCGTAAATTCGACTCTGGATTTATATTAGCAGTGATCATTTCATGAAGAGAATGTATGAAACTTACCGGAACATTTGAAGAGGGGAATCGAGTTTTGCTGCCCAAGTAGCCATTGAAGAAACATTATTTATAGATTTTACTACCGGGACCGCTGAAAAGTTTGCGAATCTAGATGGCGGACTTTCGGTTCCAGCTTGAACACCTAGAAGAGATGTAGACATAGCTCCTGTTGTCGTATTGTATGTAGTAGTAATAACTGCTCTAGCTGCAATTGAAGGATCGTTATTGGAAGCTAAATCACATGTAGCGTGAAGGAAAGCTTCGATTCCACTTTCGTCGAATACTTGGATCGTAGTGCTGACGAGAGGAATATCGAATGTGTTGAGTGTGAACTTGGTGACGATACCGAAATTATTGGCACCACCTTTTAATGCCCAGAAGAGGTCGGGGTTGCAATCTGCAGATGTTTTGACTTGAGTACTATTTCCAAGAACAACACCATAGTTCACAACTTTGTCCATTGCGTATCCATACTTGTTGTTGAAGTAATGAACACCACCAATAAGAGTAAGACCAGGAACACCAATGGTTTTAAGACGACCACCTATGACAATTCGACCATAAGGTTCGAGATAAGCGTAGACATCATATCATCTATTACCTGGATCAACATCCACAGCGGTATTATCGGCAGAAATTTGAAGGTCATTCAAACCAGCAAGAGCTACCATCACACCACCGTTTAAATTATTGCCTCCAGGGAACTATAAAGAAGGTCAACGAAAGGCTACTAACTTCAAATGTTTACTAAGAACTTACATTCATATGACCTCCACCACGAATAGCAAATTGAGCATCACAAGTAGTGATGATTCCTACTCCAGCTGCCGCTTGATCGGCATCGATAGGGCTGAAGATACAAGCCGGATCCGCATTAGTTCTGATATCCCATGCCTCAAGATTGTAGTGTGTGTAGTTTGAGGTACTTGGAAAGTAGAGGTGCTCCGGATAAGTAGTTGATAGTTGAGAGCATGCACATACTGAAGCTTCCGAATAGGTAAAAGTTCCATAATCGGTCGTTATAGTTGTACCTGCAAGGGAGGTTGAAACATTAGAAGCTGCATAAACAGCTCCTACGAAAGTAGATCCTGCGAGTAGCAAGGAAAACATGATGGAATTAGAGAAACTCGTTTAAAGAAAGCGATAGATAGACTAAAAGATAAAGTAGAAAGCTGTTGTCATAATTGAGGGAGCCGAATAGAAGTTTCTTAAATATTTCCTTCTAAAGACATGCATATCTCTTTCCATTACAAATTTTCTATCTTATATTACCCAGAACCACTTCTGAGACTAGGAATTATGGCTATGCACTAGAATGGCATGATGATTTTCCCAGAACTTCTACTCAAATTGCTCAGATGCGAATACACTCGCATTCTCGCATTCTCATATTGAGGCGCATCACTTTCAACTTAGCAAATAAAAAGAATAACAAACCATCAATCTCAATTGATGAACAAAATAAAGAGAACAACCCCCAGAAAACGGACCATAATAGACTAATAGATATGCATCGCATTCGGACTGACGCATGGAAGATCACTAGTCAGGGGAACATCGGAGGATTCGCACATTGGGGTATGGTCCGAGCTGACCGTCCTTTGACGTTGACGTCGGATCATCTAAGAAATATCTGGGGATAACTACCATCCAGCCACCTTAAAGTTTCTATATTAGATGTGTCAGTTTGATTGTAACTTTATAATCAATTTGATATAACGTGGGGGATTTATTAGTAATGCCACAAGGAAATGATAGATGGCCAGACCAGATCAGATTATGCATAGTCTACCGAGTAGTTGAACTTTTGATATAATTATAACATCAAGAATAGAAGAAAACATTCGATCATGTATAATTCAATAAACCCTACGGTCGTGTTAGTTGTGACACTTCTCGATGTAGTGCTAAGTCATAACTTTGTATCGGGTTGAGAAGCATACTTTCATTTGCTTCATTCCAGACGATACCCCATGATTTCCTATCCTTTTTTTGATTTTCTTTCGATGTGCCTTGTGATATAGAAAGATCACTATGATCTGATAGCATATAATAGTACACTCTAATATGATCATCATACTACAACCCTACTACCCAGGCAGTGACGGATAGTCCACATCTAGATCATCATGACACGGAAACCCAATGCTAAGTGTACCAAAATACCAAGGACATGGTAAGGTTATCAAGCCGAATACCCAAAGAAGTACAGTAAGGAGTGGCTCGGTAAGTGGATGTACAAGTAGATGTACAAGGCAGTATACTCAAGTTTACCTCTTCATCCCTATCATTGTTATAGCTTTCGACTTCAGGTTATCTGATCTTCGAATAAGGCTAAAGTAGGAGATCTTGGCCATGAACCTTATTTGAAAGATCTACTCGGTATATTATAAGGGGTGGATAAATTCTCGCTCTACCACAAGTCCACAACCGAATGTCTATACGATAGAAATGATGGTATTGACAAGGCTTAAGAAAGTGATCAGACAAAAGTAAAACTTGATTTCTCTCCTTTTATCAGGTGTGGCTAAAAATCTTGTCTATTACCACAATACAACACCCCATTTCAGCACTTGAGGGGTTCTGCTGTAGAACTCAAGGTTTATTAGTGTATGCAGTATACAACTTCATCTACGGACGACACTTTATTTTGGACTCCTGAAACCTTGATTCCGCAAATCATACATTTACATAAACATAATTATTAGACTTCCGAATTCACTTCTTCTCAGCAAATCCAATATACCTGACTGCAGTTCGACAATTAGCAGCTTCATTATCTTATTTCTTCAAACTTCGAATACGGTCCAGAATATCGGGAACTCTGTCCGTAACATTGAGAGCCACAATCTAGGTGATTGTTGGACGACAGTCCAGACTATCGAAAACTTTCGTTGTCTTCTTCTAATATTCAAAACTCTCAAGCTTCAAGCCTCAAAACTTTGACATAATCTCTGACAAAGTAGTCATCTGATCGCATACCCCAGGTTCTATCCAACTCCTGATTTCCAATATGAAATTTATCAAGTACTAAAGCGAAGCATTACATATTAAGCCAGACAATATAGCCGACCGAACCCATAACATCATCGATAACTTACCACGGGGCAATACAAACAGAAAAAAGCACCACGGAATTAAATGAAGCATGAAAGAAGGTGATTCGAATATTCACTCACTCCCCCTCGGATACTCTTCATTCCAAGTTCCAACCCCCTATACTCAAGCGAACGAAACCATGTATAACTTACTCACTCCGTTAAAAATCCCACAACATCCTCATCAACCATCCTAGAAGTATTAATCATCAATCATTATCATCATCATTCAAGTAGACAACAAAAAAGCCATTCCATTGCCATCCCAATCCCCAAACTCCAAATCTTGATATCCTCAGAATCCAATCTTGACCCTAAACCACATCCCAAATCTCATTCCCAATCATATACACCGTACGATCGATCAATCATCAAACCTCCCCTAAATATCCCATCTCAAATCTCAAATCCACATATCACAATTATAAATATCTCTATATAAACATATTCCAACAATCTGATTATTAAACTTCCTCTATCCTTCTCCTTCACCTCCCAAAAAGAACTCAAGAAACAGAAACAGTCACCACAATCAAATAATCCCGCACACTAAGGTTCGCGTTACAAATTACAAACACCGTATTACAACTCCCAAGCCACGATCGTTAACGGCGTTGTTGTCCCCACTATATGTATATGTATTTTCTCATATAAACATGCATGTGCATATATGTTATACATCTGAGGTATATCTCCATCTGAATCTCTATCCCCCACTCCATCTCCTCCTTCCCAACCCCGGATAATAATAATAAAACAAGAGAGAAGAGAAATAAAACAAGAAAAAAGAAAAGAAAAGATTCATGCCCCCTCGTTCCCTTACCCCATAACAAGCTATCACTATATCTATCACTATCATTATCACTAATATCATCAGTATTAGTATAACTATCATTAACTCTAATAAACTCATTCTAATAGGGTTCAAATATTGTATATAACTGGTCCTGCGGGTGTTATCGTTATTCTTGCGAGAATTGTGATTGTGATGAGAAGGATGGATGTTGAAGTTGATGTCGGTTTTGATTTCAATTTTCTCGATGTTCCTGATTCTTTTTTTCTTGGTTTTTTCTGTCCTGTTCTTCCTATACTGTTTTGTTGCTTGTGTTGATTGTAAGGATGGTGAGGATGCTAATGATGTTGCTAATGGTATGATATCATAAGTCAACTACTCTACTTTCTAACCATCTCTTTTTTGAACCATCTTTTATTACTAAAATTAACAAAAAAAAACTTTTTTATTTATAAATAAATTTTATTGGAAATTTGTATATATATAATTCAGATTATTTTAAGCTTATTCTGAAGATTTCAGGTTTTTAGGATTTTTTTGAATGAAGATCTAAAGCTTCAAAATATCGATTTTTTAATTCATATAAGAATTATATATAAATTTTACTTCTTTTTAAAAAAAATCTTTAATAACTTTCAAATAAAAATTATTAAATACAAGATTGAAAAAAATTAGAAAAACTTCGAATGATAAATATTTATAAAATACTTGTGAATTTGAAATTATAGAGATTATTTTTCTCTATTTAAATTATATCTTTATAGTTATTAATTTTTTATTATTTTTTATTAAACTCTCTATATAAATTCAAGCTCAACACCTTCAAAAAAGTAATTAGTTTCTTTTTATCAATTATAATTCAAAAGTTATTAAAGATTCAAAATAAGTTTCAAATTTATATATAATTTCTATATAAATTAAAAAATCGATATTTTGAAGCTTTAGATCTTGGTACGCTAATACTAGCGCACCAGAGTACCGAGGTACATATAAATAGCTTCTACATAGCATAATAAGAACTTCGTCCTTCTTTCACATTAAAACTGTAACCGATATCCCTACATCGTGCACGCTGTTACGAACGACGCAACATAGGCACGGGACTGGGGCACTAAGTCACGTGGTTGGCTCAGTCTGCCTCAGCGGGATAGACACTGAGCCATGAAAGTATAAACAAACCAGTACTGAGCCATATTGATCACACTAAGTAAGAAGGTCTATATAAGGGAATGGGTTTCATTACAATATAGAGCTTCGTACTTAAGAACAATTATTAGTTTCATTACTAAAGTTACAAGAATTATAATCAATTATAATCTTATTGAATTCCTACTTAAAGTTTAATCTAAATTACTTCAAGAGAACTCTAAACATTTCCACATAACCTTAGAGGCAGCTTCTGTAACACACGCCCCTATATCGTGTACACTTTTATTTCTTTTAAAAAAGATATTCTAAATTCAATATATAATCAATCAATTATTGAATTTTATTAATAATTATAAATAATATATCATATTACTATTTATTTCTTATTAAGTAATTAAAATATAAAAATAATTATTATATATAATATAATTTCAATATTAAAATTATTAATATAAAAATATTATATATTATTTATTTATTAATAGGAATAACGAAATTGATTTTTTTAATTTTTTTATATAAATTTGAATATATTTTAATATAAAGAATTGAAAAATTAAGTTTTTATATTGTAAATTTGATATTATATCAATATATTATTCTAAGTTTTTATAAATAATCTTTTTTAAAATAAAAATTAATTATAAAATCAAGTATTTTATAATAATTTTTAATTTGTTTTAATTATGTAATATTATTAATAAATTAATTTTAATTAGAAAACTAAAAAAACTATATTTTATTAAATATATATATATAATCAATTATTAAAAGAATTATAAAAATTAAATATTAGGATTATATAATTAATAATAAAATAATTCTAAAAAAGATTTTTCTTTTAAATTTATTAAAAATAAAACTAATTTAAGTATTAATAAAAAACAGAATATATTATAATATTGAATTATAATTATATTTAATCTGTAAAATTATTAGGAATATTATAAAATTTAAGGACTTTTTTTAAAAAAATAAATTCTTTTAAATATGGATTTATAATATTTTTTTTAAAAAAAACTAATAAACTTATTCATCAAGAACTTAGAATATATTATTTCATTTATTAT